TGCAACCATCACAAAACAAGACACCCGAGAACTAGAAAGGCGAGGCTTCACCACCCATTTATCCCTCCACCTTTCAACCAGCACCACATGTGATTATCGGCCAGGCTGGCACAATTAACTAACTCAATGGTAGATAAAGCTCTTTCACTCTTTAGAGACTAGTTCAATCATAGTCTCCTGGAAGGAATTAGTCTGATGAAAATATGTCCAGTTGTCCAATATGTGGGAATTCCCTACGCATTATTTTATTGATTGATGGTAATGGTTGGTGATGATGACCCTTTGTGCAACAGAAGGAAATTATTCCCTGTCTTGCACTAGCTACACAATGACTAACGTCATTAACCCCATTCTGGTGCTATTGTTAAAATACAGCCATTAAAGATGGTTCTTTTTTTTCCTTTTTTTAAACCGGTCATGTCCTTTCCTCTGGGTGATTCCATTCCTATAATATACCCCATGTCTGGGGGAAGATATCTCACCATCATTGATTTTTAATAGCATTTGGCTTGTACTTCTAAGAGACAAAAAAAATAAAACAAAAAAATTCAAGTTCACTGCCATAAAAGCAATTCCAACTCCTGGCAGCCTTATAATAGAGGGCAGAACTTTCCCCGTGAGTTTTTCACACTGTAACCACGTATGGGAATTGAAAGCCTCATCCTTCTCCTGTAGTGGCTGGATGTTTCAAACAACAGACCGAGCAGTTAGCCGCATGTGCCATGAGTGCTCCTTCCCGGACTTCCGTTCTCGCTGACTCGTTGTCAATGACAACCATGCGTCCAGGGTGATGAAAATCTCACTGCCCGAGCCCAGCTCTCCGTAGTCCCGAAGTGACAGCTGTGATTTCAGCACTTTCAATAGGACCTTTGCAGACGCTTGTCCATAAGATATGTGTTTTGATTTCTTGACAGCTGTTTCCAAGGTGACTGATTTTGGATCCAAGTAAAATATCAATCTTTACTTCAAATTATGCACAAACTATTAGGATGTTGATTATTGGTTCAGTTGTGAGGCTTTTTATTTTTTTATGATGTGTTGAGATTAATACTCGATGCTATAATTTTTTATCTTCTTTAGTAATTTCTCCATATTCACTTCACTTTCAGCAATAAAGATCTGTGATTATTAATGTGATTGTCTCTCATCTTGATACTATGTTCTCCATGTCTACCTTTTAAGATTATTTGTAAAATAAATAAACTAAATGTGTACAGTATCTTTGCTGATGTTAAATTACACAACATCTTGTTGGTCTGTTTGAAAAGCTTCCTCTTTTCCTCTACTATAAGGATTTCCATATAAGCACAATAAGAAGCCCAACATTTTTATGGCATTATCTTACTGAATCTTACGTAAGAACCATCTGATGTCACCACAAATTTCAGAAGTTCTCATTCCAGAAGTACTTCTCAATATATCTTGAATTTCTGGCAGTTGAGTTGATCTAGAATTACAGTTCTTTCTGAATTATTTTCAGCAGAATTTAACATTTGTGTCATAAAAATATTGTTTGAAAATGTTAACATTCTATTAAATATCTTCTTTTTTGGAATGCACATCAATATGACTATCCACCAGTCTGTGAACAAGTACTTGTTTTCCAAATTTGGAAACATAGACCATTTCCCATTTTACATGTGTTTGTTTAAACATATTAATGGCTATTCAGTCAATTATTGAAGCCTGTTTATCCCTAATATATCACAGCATATTTGAATTATATGTTCAATTTATTCAGCTATGCTATCTTATGAAATGGATGATGAAAGGCAACAACCAAGTTGTCCATCTTTCAGTATTTCTTAATTGTTAGTATATCAATATCCACTTACGTTTTTTAAAAATAGATTTTATTTGTTGCTATGGGAGGTGTTGTCCACCCCACCCCCCATAAGCACACACGCACACACAAGAGGTTATGTGGAATATTGTGTTTGTAGTAGAGAGTTTCTGAGTATCATAAACTCTTAATAAGTAGATGGCATTTCAGGATGCACACCTTCCTGACATGATTGCTGAAGAAAAATGTGAACATA